TATATATATATATATATATATATATATATATATATATATATATATATATATATATATTCACAAACCTTCTCCTTGATACAGAGCTTTCATTGAGAAACCATGGAAAACCAATTGAAATATCCTAAAGTCTGAGATTTTTTAAGAGTGCAGAAGACGCATTTTCTGGGCAGCCGTGCCAGGCTGGGAGCACCCCTGACGGACGGGGATTGCGTTGCCCTGCTGTTCCCGAACTGGAACAGGTCGCAATACTACGAGCCGGGCTGTGAGCAGCGCGCTCCCCCGCGGCGGGGGCGGAGGAGTGAGCGCTGCCCGAGGCCCGGCGCTCCCCCCGCCGCTTCGCCGTGGGCTGGCCCAGGACCCGCTCCTCGCAGTCCCGCCGCGCCCGCGTCTCTCCGAGCGGCCGCGGTCGGACACTACATTTCCCGGCGTGCCGCGCGGGCCGGGCCGTACCGTGTGCGGGGTGGAGGGGGAGCGGCGCGGGGCGCTCGAGTTGAAGTGCCGGCGAGGCGGTAAGTGCCGGTCTGAGCGCCGGCGGAGCGGCCGGAGCGGGCGCGTCCGGGCGCGGCTCCCCCGCCAGCCCGCGCTGCCCGCGCTGCCGCCTCGGCCCGGTTCGGCCCCTCCGCGGGGCAGGGGGCTCCAGGCCCAGCAGCAATTGCCCCCGCAGGCACGGCCCCGCGGGCAGGGCCCCGTCTTCCGCGGGGCTCGGCGGGGCCGGGGCTGTTCACGCGAGTGGGAGCGGCGCGGGGCGCGGGCGCTGCGGCGGGAGGCCCAGCCCGGGCCGGGGCGCCTGAAGGAGAACCGAGAGCAGCCGGCGCCAGCTCCTCGTGTCCTTCACGGGCACACCCCGGGCGCGGCGGCGGACGCGGCCTGTGCGGGGCTCTGGGGGCGGTGGGTGCGGGACCCCGCTGCCCTCGGGGCGGTCGGCGCTCCCCGCCGCTCCCCCGGCGTCGGCACAGGGCACGGGCCGGAGCAGGTGGCGGTGGGGTCACCTTCCCGCAGGGAGCCGGCATCGTGCCGGCTGCCCCTGGCGGGAATAGAAGCCCGGCTGGAAGACAAGGGAGCCTCACGTGTGCGAAGTTGTGTGAAAGTCAAACGTGCCACTTCACGGAGGTGAAAGAAAAACTGGAGGTGATCCATCAACGCAGGGCTTAATAACGGGAGGTAGTGAAATCCCGAGGCGTGTTTCACAGCTGACAGGGTCCTTAAGATACCCCTAGGGGTGTCGTAATGGCTCATTTACATGGAAAAGGCTTCTCGACACCTTATGCAAAACTGTGAAATACAATTTATTTCTGACAATTCCATTTATGTAGCTTATAGTGGAGGGGGGTTAATTATTCCCTTTTTATTGGTACAACACGTTAAGCATGAAAGCAGGAACTTTCTTGCTGAAGAATTCAGCTGCTCTGCCTGTTTATTTGCTACCTAAAGTTCCTATCTTTTGTTCCTGACGTACAGCTGGTGGGTATGGCAATAGATGTGATGTCACAAACTGCAAATTATACCTTCAGGTAGAAATAAGATGTAAGAACAGATGGACTTGCATCTTGCTTTCAATAAAATGTTCTTTTAGCAATCGAGAAAGCGAATGAAAAATAATGAAAAAGAGAGGTGTATTTTGTGGGTTAAAAAAATGTCACTGCACCTTTCGCTTTTCAATAAATTAAATTTTACAGAAACATACAATGATCAGAAATAGTTTAATTAAAACACATTGCAAAAAGTTATTTTTTAAGGTGATGGAGGATACAAGAGATGTCTGTAAGAGAAGAGATTGGTCCTCCAGGAAAAAGCCACAACATTTCTAGAATTCCACTGAGGTTTTATAAGTTAGTATAAGAATTTAGACAACTCAATTCCAATTAAACATTGATAAATTTATTAAGCAAGCAGTAATAAAGCAAACAGCGCTGGGTGGCCTGGGGGGCAGTTGCCCCGCCCGAGACACACACTGAAAATGTAGTAAATGTTCCTTTTTATACATTTCCAAGTCCCGAGTTTTGAATGCAGCTGCGTTGAGGCTTGAGTTCATGGCTCCTTGTTAAGTGGTCATCTGGGATTTGTCAAAGATGAAAGCTGCAGTTCTCATCAGCTGTAAATTTTACCAATACTGATACTTGTTTGTTTAGCAAGATGTCTGCAATTATTTTTACTGACACTTGCTTAATTAACAGGATGTCCATGAAACTTATCTTGTTGAATTATAAGAAAAGTTCCTTATTCCCTCATACACATAAGATTTTATGAACAAAGTTAGCAATCTATTACATGAGGCATGGGGAGGAAGGCAGCTTTTTTTTGGGAGGTGCGTGTTCATTTGGCTGCAGTGAAGGGTCCAGGATTATTTTCTCTTGAGTCTGATCGTGGATTCAAAGGAGTCCTGGTCAGTCAGCTACCTATTCTGACAGGAGAAAAAGCTGGGGTGCTGCAGGCAGCTCTGACAGGCATTGACAGAATATGTCTCAGCTTTTCTGCCTCACAGTTACCTAGGGCTTGTAAGAAAATAAAAGGAAATAATAAATTTTGGCTAAGGTTTGTGTACAGAGGTCTCTTGTGTTATATTATCTTATTTCACTGATTGTGTTCTTGTGAACTCTTTTTGAAAGACTTGACCTGTGTCACCACATGTTTTTTGGTTACAAGGCTTCCAAGAGAAAAAGCAGAAGCCAGACTGACCCTGTTAAAGCTTTGCAATGAGAAGTAGGAAAGTTTCTCAATCAAGTCTAGGAGTGGGAGGATTAGAGGACTCCATCTTGATGGGGTAAGAGCCTGCACTCTGTCAGGGGTGCTCTTGAGAGCTTGCAGTGTAGATGACCGTGCCTTTTGATTTGTGGTACAAGCAGAAAGAATGGTCAACCATATTTTATGTCCAATACCACCCATAGGAAAAGGAAAGAAAAATGTACCTAATTTGTTATTTTTTTTTCATGTCTGAATCCTTTAAGGTGACATAAAGAAATGTGATATATATATATTACATGTAACAAGTTACATGTTTACACTACTTTATGTACTGCAAACAATGAATGTAGTGATTCAAAATACGTAATGTAGGAAATGTGTTCAATCCCCACCCTTGTCTCTCAGAGAGAAAGTGATCGAGAAGTGTCTCACTTCGGGTGTGTGCTGGGCCTATGACAGAGCCAGGAATAGGCTGTTAATTCCTGCAGATGTCTGTTCTGCAGGAACTGGCACTTGAATGGGACAATGATTATGAGAAAACAAATCTCGCTGGGTCCCTCTGATCAGGTCCCCTATCCCCTGCATTACTCTCTGACTGCTGGAGTCGCACACAACCACCTGGGATGCATGGCCTCTTCCTAGACCCCTTCTCAGCAGTGAGGAGCTTCTAGAACTAGCCTGGCAGAGTTTCTAACAAGTTTTGGATGCTCTTCATGTTGCAAGAGCTCTTTTTAAACCCTGCTTTTTTATATCTTCTGTTATCCCCTTGCAGTCTGCCTATGCTGTGGTATTTTCAAGAATTTGCATTGAAGAAGGGACCTATTGCTAGGACCAGAATTGACTTTTGATGATCTCAT